GCACCTAATAGGTCCAACAAACCTTATTTGATATGGAGAGCAATCTATATCTTCTTATATATATATATAATAAGGATTAATATAAATCACTTTTGGCAACCTTTTCCCGCCAAAATGTATTAATTACATATTCTAAAAAGTAATCTTAAAACATATTTTAATTAAATACGAATGGACTGCTTTAATTGCGTCCCATATTCATTTCCCATAAAAACTGGATTCTATTTCATTTAGCAGATTTTTTTTTCGAACTAGAAATTACTTTGGAGAATGTTGATACAATATCCCGTCTAAAAGTATCGCTAATTTTTCGGTAAGATTTGACTTATGCAGTTTGCATATCAAACTTAATTTAATATTTATCGTATGAAAATAATATTAAAAATCTTAAAATTAGTGTTTTCCATTTCAGCGATAAACATTATAACCTTGAAAAGTGGATTTTGTTATGTTATTTAGTTGTTGTTATTTTTATCAAATCTTTAAGTAGATTTTTTCTTTACATTTTGAAAAAAAAATAAATCTATAAATCTTGATTGAATATTCATTTTAACGGATAGACATAATAAGCATTAATTGCATTAATGAAAAAATAATAAAAAAATAAGCATTAATTGCATTAATAAGAATATAATTTTAGAATTTATTTTAACGGATAGACATAATAAGCATTAAATAAGAATATAATTTTAGAATTTATTTTAAATAATAAATAAATAAGCATTAATTGCATTCATTATCATTTATATATATAAAATAAGAATAAGGTTAATTGATTATTAGAAACATTTGCCTGCACAAAAACATTAATTACATACTATAGATGGAACTAATATAACTAGTTGTTGACCCGTGCATTTGCACGGAAAACCATATGATAAAGAGAAAAAAAAACATTGTAAAAATCATAGCATAATTATTGAAGAAAACGTTAAGCAACAAAATATTTAATCTAAATATTATTAAACACTTCTTTATATACAACGTTCGTGGTTTTTCTATCATCCCACTCTCCATCCCCACAAATCATTATCTTCATACCTCTCCGATTCGTGACTCTAGATAGTGGCACATACAATTGTCCATGACTAAATACATGATTCTTCAATAGTAAGCCGACATGGGACAATGACTGGTCTTGACTCTTGTTGATAGTTATGGCATATGAAAGCATGAGCGGAAATTGTCTGCGCTGAAATTTGAACCATACCCTCAAATCGGATGGTATGATTGTGAACCTAGGAATAAGAACCTTGTCACCAACTCTGGCGCCGATTAAAATCTTGCATTCCAGGACATGGATTTTGAATTACCATTGTTGACATGGTTAACAAACATTCTCGGTCTCGCATTTTCATCGTCGTCAATTGTAAGATTAATTAAAGGTATCGAACAGCTCGAAGAAGCATTAGCGAGGTGGGATACTGAACACTTTTGAGACGAACGTTGAGAATTTAGGAAAGTAACACCTAAAATGAAATGTTAAATAAAAGTCAGTAAAATAATAACATATTCCTAAAAATATTTCTTATAATTACACAAGCACTTAAAATTATAAAAAATCGAGAAAAATAAAAAATATAATACCGGATTGTTGAATAATAGAAGGCGTGTTAGTAGGTATTGGTGTACCTGCAAACATTAAAATACATATATTTTAATTTAAGATACAACCTTTATAAATTTATTCTTGTCAAACTAATTTTTTTAAACATTTATGAAAAAATAAAATGCAACTAACAAAAAAGGATTTCAAGTTACTAACAAAAAGGATTTCAAGTTAATAAACCACTGAAGCAAACAAAATGACTTTTTAAGTAATTTGTACTACAATTTTTTTTGTGTTCAATATTTATAATAGTTTTATTGGATACTATATATCATTATAAACTTATTGGGCCAAGAATTTAAAGAATATGAGCCCAATTTTAATAGTTGTCAAAAGGAATGATGGGCATTTATAAAAAAATATTGGGCCTTTATTAATTAATTAGTTATTGGGTTTTAAAAAACAAATGCAGCCCAAATCTATACCCAACGTATGGTCCTTTTGGAAGATTGAGACACGTATCAATTCGGAGGTAATAAAAGTGACGCGTGGACAGGACACTTCTCCAACTTTTTTATGCATCCAAAAAACCCTAATACCTGAGTTATTTACGCCATTTCTCTCTGTATCGGCGCACCTTCCCTCAACAAATTTCTCTCTTCTGAAACACTTCTTCTACCATTCCAATTTAAGTTTTGTCGATAATCTAGCCGACAATATACTTTTACCAGCGATTCTTTCACCTTTTTCTTAAAGCGATGTCGAAATTATACTTGATTTTTTGTTTTTTCGACCAAAAAGACAGATCGACATGAACAGATCAACCCATTTTTTAGAAAATCGAAATACTGGGTCATAGTATTTCAGTACAAACGGTCGATAACAACTTAGATTTGTGAAGATCCGAAAGTAATTCAACATATATTTTTTTATTTGGTGTTTGCTTGTTTTTTTTTTCAAAGGTTTAAGCACTTTTCAACTATGTTCTTAACAGATCTGTGAAGATCTTACGACATTGTTCTCTTTATTTTTTTTAATTTGCGTTTTTTTTCATATATTTTTTATTTATTACTTTTTTCAAATTTTTTCTTAACGTCTATGTGAAGGTCTGAAGCCTAATTAGATATTTTTTAATATGTTCTTCAAAACAAATTTCTTTTAATTTTCTTTTGTTTAAAGACGTTTTGCAGATTTTAATTGCATACAATTAAAATTGTGAAGTCTGCATATTTCTTGTGGATTGGGATTTTATTTGTGGCTTAACATAAGGGATACTTTAAATTTTCTTCCTAAAACACACTTGATGTGCATAATTCATGGCTGAATGATATTAAGGGATATTATTGCTCACTAATATGGTTTGTATGTGGGATTGACTTTTGTTTTTGAAATATTAAAATTATAATTAATAATTTTTTTTATCGTGTTTGCAGGAGCAGAAGAAAGATGTTGGACATTTATTTATTATTTGTGATTTTGTTCATGTTGTAAATGTGTTGTATTTTGTTTTTAAGTTTTTCATTTTATTTTAGCATGATTTATTACTAAACTGAACAATAAAATAATGGTTTCACATTTGTGTGGGCAAATTTAAGATTTTGAATAAAAAAATTATTGGTAATTGTGTCATTATTTATTATGTAAAAAAAAAAGTGGAAAACATTCAACATGTAATGGCTACATGATTAAAAAAGTCAAATGAGATTTCTTGCCTATTTTAACACATTCAACATTAACTAAAATTGATATGTTTTTGCAAAAAAAAAAAAAAAAAGTAAACAGTACCGTATTTAGGCGGGAAAACAATAGAAATGCTGACTGGGTATAATTTAATAGGTTTAATTTAATGCTCATATGCTAGAAATTATATATATATAGATTTGTGTTTAATAAAAATAAATAAATCATTACTTCATTGTTTCCATATAACTAAACTTTCAGTTTATATTTGTTTTAGTCAATTCTCAGTTTCCTTTATTTAAGTTGATAATTGTTTGGTAGAGAAATGTTATGTAAATAATTAGACAACAGATTTTAGAATTCTTATTTACGAGAATTTTTTTTTTATTTTAGTTATAGAATTATCTAAATTAATGAATGAAAGATTTGCAATGAGATATATACAAATCTCTTTTTACTGTGACATGTTTACAAATGAATGTCTAATGTTTTGCATGTCTAATGCATATAATTTGGTAATACATTATAATTAGTAATATTTTTTTAGCTTGTAATACATATTATTCACATATAATATTTTATATATTTTTAAACATGTTAGTTGGGAATAATTTTTACACATCATATATATATATATATATATATATATATGTGTGTGTGTGTGTGTGTGTGTGTGTGTGTACATATGTGTGTTAAATTTAAATGTTTTTATACATGTTTTATTTACAAAATAATTAAAAGAACTTTATGCGACATCACATCTTTTAAGAATAAAATATAATATTTTAGATAATCTTTCATATGTTATATAATATTTTATGTGTTTTTAATATTCTAAACATGCATATTTAATGTTCTTTTATATAATTAAAAAAGTATAAAAATATTAGTAATTATTATTTAGCTAATCAATTATAATCGATATTTACATGATAAACTAATAGCACTTTTAGAACTGCCATGTAATTCATCCTATGATAAATAAATCATTTCGGTTTTAGGTTTCCATTTAAGTTCCAACGACATCAGTTCCTACTTATAGTTTTGTATACATGATGATAAAAAAGAGTCTGTTTTTATTCATGGTCATATGTTGATTGTGTGTAAGTGGTATAAAGGAGGCACCAGTTCTACTTATAATTTTGTATTCATGATGATAATGAAGAGTCCATTTTTAGTCATTGTAAATTATATGTTGGTTTGTGTGTAAGTAATATAAAGGAGTTGAAAACATTAAATTATGGGATGCCGAGTTTTCTAATAATCAAACTAATAATATTGTGTATAAATTTTTTTAATAATATATTATATTTTTTGAGGAACATTTTTATGGTTTGTCAATTTCCACATGTTATCACACCTTTATTTATCTTCAATTTATAATATTTCACTTTTTTTTTTATTTATTAATGCATTTCAGTTTATAATATGCCTTAAGAATACTACTATAGCCGGGCATCGCAAGTATTAGTTGAATTGATAGTTGATATTTTATACCACTTAGCAATTGTTTATCAAATACACGACGTGCAAACAACCGGACTAGTTTAATTTATTTAATATTATGTATAAATAAATAAAGTAGAATTAGGATAACTGATTTTCCTTGGTCACCAAGAAAAATTTGGCATTATATATATACATGGCCTCTCCAACGATCAATCCCTCATTCTCTCAACTCGCCATCTAAAATCCCGGATCTCTCTCTCTCTCTCTCTCTCTCTCTCTCTCTCTCTCTGGCAAGAAAAAAACCATCTACATCTTCTTCGCGATGGCTTCGTCCGCCACCACAACAGTTTCTCTCGTCGGCCCGCCGGAGATCCACCGGAAGTCTACCCCTCCCGCTGCTGCCACCGCCCCCGCCACCACGGGAAATCCGTTCATGGACCTCATGGTGGCCAACTTCAATAAGACGGCGGTCTCGGCCCCCCTCCCACCCATGGGCTTCACCGAGAACTTCTCGCCGACATTCCTTTCCTCCGGAAACCCCTGTCTGGACTTCTTCTTCCACGTCGTCCCCGACACGCCGCCGGAGGCCCTCGCCCAGCGCCTGAAGCTGGCCTGGGAAGACGACCCGCTGAAGGCCCTAAAGCTCGTCTGCAACCTCCGCGGCGTTCGCGGCACTGGTAAGACAGACAGGGAGGGAGGGTACACGGCGGCGCTGTGGATCCACAAGAACCACCCTAAGACCCTCGCCTGCAACGTCGCCCCCCTGGCCAAGTTTGGCTACTTCAAGGACCTCCTCGAGATCCTCCTCCGCCTCGTCGAGGGCCCCGACGCACGTACACAGGCTAAGGCCGCTTACCGGAGTTGGAAATCGAGCGGCTCACGCCGGGCTCGCGAGCTTGCCAAACGCCGGCAGGCCAAAAAACCCAAACAGATGGCCCCACGATATGGCAGCATAAGGAAGAAGACTCACGGCCGGATGAGGAGGACATCAAACCGGCCGAGCAACTCGAATGACCAGCCGAAACTAAGCAACGAGGAGAAGAGGCTCGAGCGGGCGAAGAAGGCCTTTGAGAGATTCAGTTGCGACCCGGATTACAGATTCCTCCACGACCGTGTGTCGGATTACTTTGCCCTGTGCCTGAGGTCGGACATGGAGATGCTAAACTCCGGCCAATCGAACAAAATCAGCCTTGCTGCCAAGTGGTGCCCCTCCCTCGATTCCTCGTACGACCAGGTCACTTTGCTTTGTGAGCCCATTGCCAAGAAAGTCTTCCCTAGGTCCGAATATCCCGAATACGAATTAGTGGAGGAGGCCCACTACGCTTATCGTGTTCGGGACCGATTACGTAAGCAGGTTCTTGTCCCTCTTCGTAAGGCCCTCGAGCTGCCGGAGCTCTACATGAGCGCGAAACAGTGGAGTACACTCCCTTACAACAGGGTATCCTCGGTTGCCATGAAAATGTACAAGCAGGTGTTTCTCGAGCATGATGAGCAGAGGTTCAGGGAGTATCTCGAAAAGGTCGATAAGGGTGAGGCCAAGATTGCCGCCGGAGCATTGCTTCCGCACGAGATAGTCTCCGGACTTGGAGACGGTGACAAAGGCCAAGTGGCAGAGCTTCAGTGGAGGAGAATGGTGGATGACTTGGCGAAGAAGGGGAAGATGACCAACTGCCTAGCCATTTGCGATGTTTCCGGGAGCATGGATGGTGTCCCCATGGAGGTTTCGGTGGCTCTTGGAGTTTTGGTTTCGGAGCTTAGCGAGGAGCCATGGAAGGGTAAGCTCATCACATTCAGCGCGAATCCCAAGATTCAAGATGTGGTGGGGTCGAGTTTGGCGGAGAAGACTGCGTTTGTGAGGGGAATGGAGTGGGGTATGAACACTGATTTCCAAAAAGTGTTTGATTTGCTTCTTGAAGTTGCCGTGGCCGGAAAGCTCAAGCCGGAGCAGATGATCAAGCGGCTTTTGGTGTTTAGTGACATGGAGTTTGATCAGGCACGGAACAAGGGCCCACAATCATATTATTCACCTTATCCAAGACCATCATATGGCGCATATGGCGCACCATCATATTATTCAGGTTCATATTATTCAGGTTTTCCACCACCACCATGTATTTTACCGGGCGTTGTTGGGACTCCCAGCACTTGGGAGACTGATTACGAGGTGATTGTTAGGAAGTTTGGGGAGAAAGGGTATGGGGAATGTGTGCCGGAGATTGTGTTTTGGAATCTGAGAAGTTCTCCGGCGACTCCAGTGGCGGCAGGACAGCCGGGAGTGGCGCTTGTGAGTGGTTATTCGAAGAATATGATGAAGGTGTTTTTGGAGGAAGGTAAGATTATCAGTCCTGAGGCTGTTATGGATCAGGCGATTGCGGGCAAAGAGTACGAAGAGCTGGTTGTGGTGGATTGATTTGGGCCAGGGGAAAGGGGTGTTTTGAGGATATCTGGTTTGCTTAGGTGGATTAGGTTGGATAGTTTGGTTGAATTGATTGGCCATAGGGTTTTGATAATCTCTGCTCTGAATTTTTAGAATTGGCCAAAAGGATTTTGATCATTGCTCTGTTAGTTGAATATACATGGAACTTTAATATATTTTTTTTTTTTTGTTTATTATGCTTTATAACAGCCAAAAAGAAGAGAGAAAAAACCACTAAGAATAAAACCAATAAATATTGGACTGGCTGTTCCTTAATCAACTGATTGTTCTGTCCTACAATATCTTGAAACTTAAATTTATGATTTCCCTGCTGGAAAAGTTTGATTATATTCTACTGTCTATTCACATTTTCATGAATTGTAGGGCACTTTTTATGTCCTAACAGAGACAACTGGAATTTGTAGCAGGCATGGAACTTCTACCAACTTTTTTTTCCCCGTTTCTTGGACTGGTTGTATTGCCGTGAACTTGCAGATATTTGCATCATAATATCGCCATATGGGCATCTTTTGTAGTCTTAGAACCTCTACTTACTTTTTCGAATAGATTGCTTGACGTAGCTGAACTGTGTATTGTCCCAAAATCTGCGGAGAGTTTGGTCCCTGCTACAAATCTTCTAGGTATGGAGATTGTGGGATGTGTTAATCTGAAGAAAATGATTAACACTGAAGTTATAGCAATATCCAAAAGAGGCTGCATCATCATTGTAAATTACATCTTAATTAGTCATGAAATATCATTTGTATCTTATTGTAGCCGTAAACTTGTCAGCCGTAATTTGTTGGGTTGTTTTCATCTGGTTGGACATAATGGTTCCTTGGGTTTGGTGGATCCGATCCTGGAATGTACGTAAAATTTCCTTTTTGAAGGAACCAAAGATGTTAAGGCTGGACTAAGCAATTCATGTTTTACTGTGTACATGTTTACAAGTGCCTTCCGTAGGCCTACCTGATAGCATACGTTCTGAACCGTGCGTTGCAGGTCTACAGAGAAATGTGGAGGAAAGAGTACAAGCTGGATAGCTTCGGGGGCAACATGCTGCTGCTTCACGCCATTTCAATTATCAGGGCTTCATTCATGTTATGATGATTGGCTTTCTAGTGCTTTTTATGTTTGTTCATCGAGGATGCATGAATTTCGATGGCAATGTGGTGATTTATGAAGGTTGACGATTGTCTCTAAAAAAGTTAATCTTTGATATATGATTGCAGTCGTATTTGAAGATTGTTATACACTTTGTTACATATCCTGGTGCAATGGAATTTGAGTATCGTTATACATTTTGTTAAATATGGTGGTCTCTAGAATGTAGAATCTAATAAGCTGATATGCTGCAGAGGTTTGATGGGGTCGACCAGGTGCTTGACGAGTACACATACACCATTCTCACAAGGATGACCCAAGATGCAGTATCTTTGTTGGACGAGATGCTCTCGAAGGGCATCAATTAACAGATACTATCAGCAAGCCCGAGGGAGTATCCCGAAAATAAAGGAGTAGAGGAGGCACACTACGCGTATTGTGTTGGGGAGCGTCTAACGAAGGAGATTCTTGTGCCCCTGCGTAAAACCCTGCAACTTTCCGGATCGAGGTTGCTTCGGTTGCCATGAAAACGTACAAAGGCTCGTTCGGAAAGGTTTCATGAGTATCTGGATAAGGTTGAGAAAGGGGAAGCCAAGATTGCAACTGGTTCCTTGCTTCCGCAAGAGATAATTGCTTAGCTGTCTGTGGCGCTCGTGAGCGGGTTTTCGAAGAATCTGATGAAGCTGTTTATGAAGGAAGGTGGAGATTTCATTTCAATCCTGTGGAGATTATGGAGGCTGCGATTGAACTTCATGTGTGAATAATGAATAAAAAAAGTTCTGTTTTGGTTTGGTTATTTCCTTTTTTTTTTTTTTTTCATGTTTCTGGTTGACAGTTTATTCAATTGGATATTAATTGATTGATTAATCTCATTGTCCTCAAGAAAGTTGTAAGAGATGAAGATTTGAAAGTAGAGATCAAGGCTGGCATGGCATCGTCCAGTTAAATTTTTTATTTTACAGAAAGTCTATGATAACCTACCGAATAGACTGTAAATTCTTGTATAAGGTAGGCTAATTCTTGTATCAGATAGCCTACCGACCCCGTTATATTTTTTATTTTACAACAAGTGTATGCTATATAATATTTTTTTAGTATCTAAACAACAACCTTAACTTAAATAAAATATTTTTAAACAACAACCCTAACTCAAATAAAATATTTTTAGTAATTCTTTCAAAAGTGTACTATTGCGGTATCCATACAATGAACGAGTTAGTAATATTAAAGAAAACATTTTATTGGTACCCATGCCGTGCACGAGCTAGTATTATTAAAGAAAACATTTTATTTATATATTAAATGTATTCTTGTACACAACATTCTTTGTGTTGTGTTATTATCACTTAATTGCCATATAAATATGTAAAACATAAATTTTGGCCATGTTTTGCAAAAAATATTTTTTTTTTTTGGCCATTTTGGCATGTGAGAATACCAAAATACCCTTAACTCAATTTATAGCTTTTACACTATTTTCCTTCCCCCAATTCAATTCAAATCACTTTCAATTTTCCCCTCTTAAAAAAAAAAATAAATCGACCGTGAAAAAAAAATCTTCATCTTCACGGGGAAGGCGAGAGACTTTTCCACGGCAAGACAATACCGTCCGAGCACCTCATCCCCCAGTCCGGACACCGTCCGGAAAGTTCCACGACGACCGCACCTTCATTTGTTTGCCCAGATCCGGGATGTTCCACGATGACCTTGCCCTCACGACCTCATGACCTCGACCGCGCCGTCATTTGTTTGCTCAGATCTTCGCCGGAATCTAAAATCGGGTAGCGACTTCACGACTTCCCTTTTTGGTTCGAATTAGGGTTTCTTATTTCGAACTAGGAGTCCCTTCATATTGGAATTAGTGTTTTTTTGGTTTGAATTAGTTTTTTTTTTTTTTTT